GCATAGACCTGGCATATCTTCCCCTAGTTGTCTCTCTTTTGAGTAGCACAGTCCTAATCTTTTTTTGTTTCTCCTCATAAGGAAGCTATTCCATACTCTTAATCATCTTTATTGCCCTCTCTGAAATTTTTACTGTTCCACTATAGCCTTTCTGAGATGGGGCAACCAGAACTGCACAGAATACTCCAGGGCTATGTCTACACTTGCGGCTTCTTGCGCAAGTCATATGCAAATGAGGTTAAGCATGGAATATCGCTGAGCCTCATTTGCATACCTAATGAGCCACCATTTTTTTCAGAGCATCTACACGTCCCCTTCTTGCACAAGAAAAACCCTCTTGCACAACGCCGTTCTTCCTGAAAAGTAATAGGTGAAACGGTGTTGCACAAGAGGATCCTCCTCATTTTTTGAGGAGTAACGTTAGTTCGGAATAAGGGCTTTAGTCCGAACTAACGCGTCCCGGTGCGCACTTCCTGGTTCGAATCAGCTGTGATTCGAACTAGTGCGCTGGTGAGATCATGTTAATGAAGCGCAGGATATTTAAATCCCCGCTTTATTAACTACTTTGGTCGTCTCCATTTGCATCCCTAGTCCGAACTAGGGATGCAGTATAGACGTACCCTCACAGTCTAAACGGTAGTTTGCTTTACTCTTTGCTATGTAAACTATCTCTACATTGGCCCAGACGTTGCAGTGAATGAAGTCAACAGGGTTCCATATGGAGACCTGTGTGGAGCTCATTGCAGGATCAGTCAGGGCCTTCAACAAGGCACTCAATAATTCAGAATAACTAAATTCTGGGACACTGTAAACTTCAGGGGGCATGATTGGTCTATACTACACAGCATAATGGAGCCTCAGTGCAGTGTGCTTCTAGGTAAGGTGCTGATGGTCAGGGAGCCAACAGACTTTGCTGGGCCCTAGGCTAGATGGGGACTGGCTTTAGCCAGGGGTGGGCAATAATTTTTGATGGGGGGGGGGGCACTCCAAGATTTTGGTAAGTGATCAAGGGCCGCACTTTTCTGTGGAGGTTGGGTGCAGAAAGACAAAGGGGGTAAGGGCCTGGGGTGCAGAAGGTCTCAGAGGGTATTTGGGTGGAGGAGGGGGTTGTGACCTGGGTCAAGGCATTGGGGTGTAGGGTCAGGGAGGGGGTGTGGGTGCAGGAAAGGATTCTGGCCTGGGGGAGGGGTATAGGAAGGGGTACAGGGTCTCGGAGGGAGCTGTCAACTGGGGCAGGGGGTGCAGAGGGTTTGGATGGTGAGCTGGGGGAGGGAGTTGGGTTGCAGGAGGGGTTGGGGTGCCAGAGGCAGCTGGTTGGGAGTAGTTTACCTAAGTGTCTCCTAGATGGCAGCCCCCGCCTGCTTGAAAACGAAGGCTGCTCCCTCCACGTGGCTTTCAAGTCTGGCAGCCCAGTTGCTCAGGCCAATCTCTCAGCTCTGATTGGCTGGCTGTTTCCTGCGGTCAGTTCTTATTGGCTGGTTGTTTCTGGCCAATAGGAGCTGAGGACCTGAGGGTCATGGCAGGGTGGTCCATGTGCTGCATCTGGTGGCTTGGAGGGCTGTATCTATCCCCCAGGGTGTATTTTGCCCAACCCAGCCCTGATCCACAGGCACCACCACTATGCAGCTCTCAGTGACTGTGGTTCTCTGTTCTGGGGCAATGGGAGCTGTGTGGGCTGGTGGAAATGGGTGGGGCCTCAGGTGGAGGGGGAGCACTGGGGTTCGCTTTCCCCAGCCAGCCCTTTAGCACCCCTGCAGTGCGACACCCAGGGCTCTGGCTGCTGCCTTGCTGCAGTTGCTGTGGCAGCGGCTGAGAGTCCTGGACCCTTTTAAATTGCTGGTCTCTGGGGCAGCTGCCCCTTTTGGACTCCCCCAATCCATAAACAGACCTGCTGCTGCTGCAATTAGGGTTGCCAGGTGTCGGGTATTCACCTGGACAGTCTGGTATTTGCAGGCTCCGTCTGGTAAAAACCCCCAGAAAATACCGGACATGTGAAATGTCTGGTATTTCCAGTTTCCCTCTGTCAGAAGCCTGGCGGGGACAATTTTCCACAGCCGCATCTGGTGGGGGTGGGGGAGTGAGGAGTACAGCAGAGTTGTAGTGAAGGAGGGGCACTTGCTGGGTGCCACGCTAAGGGGGCACCGGGCTGAGGTGGGAGCAGAGCGCACGCTGCTCTGGCCCATGTAACCAGCAGAGACCTGGGAACTGGCCACATGATGCTTCCCTCTACACACTTTGGCCATGTCTACATTGGCCAGATTTTGCACAAAAGCAGCTATCTAAACCGGCTGCGAGTTCTTGTGCAAGAACTCTGACGCTCCTGCTCGGGAAAAAGCCTTCTTGTGCAAGTGTTTTTGCTTAAGAGGGCAGTGTAGACAAGGACAGGAATTTCTTGCGAAAGAAAACCCCGATGGCGAAAATGGCCACCGGTGCTTTCTTGCATAAGAGAGCATCTATACTGGCACGGGATGCTCTTCCGCAAAAGCACAGCTTTTACGCAAAGGCACATGGCACTGTAGATGCTCTCTTGTGCAAATACTCATTTATGCAAGAGAGTGCCAGTGTAGACGCAGCCTGTGAGCCAAAGCAGCTGGGCCAGGCGGCAGGGGCTGTGACTTTAAAAGTAAGATGAACTTACCTGGCTGTCCCATTCCTCCAGTGCCTTCCAGAGGTCGATCTTCCCGTGTTCGATTTAGTGGGTCTAGTGAAGACCCGCTAATTTGAACTGAGAGGGCGTCCCCATCAGCGCTGGTGGTCCTGCTCCCCATGAGGAGTAAGGGAAGCTGATGGGAGTGTTTGCTCTTGTAGACCTCCTGCTGTGTGAACAGCGTGAATACACCATTTAAGATACGTGGACTCCAGCTACATAATTAACATTGCTGGAGCTGCATATCTTAAGTCAACTTTCCCCCTTCGCTGTAGACCTGGCCTAAGCAAGTAGTAAAGAATCTCAATCTACTTGTTGAAACGGGTATCTTTGTCAGCTACATTGTTCACTACAAATCCTGTGCTGTCTTTTATGTACTAAGGAGAATACGTGGGGAGCTCCTTTCCTTAGATTTCGACTGTAAACTACATTATCTCACTTTGTGAACAGACCATTGGTTCTCCTTTAATACTAACTGGAAATTGGAAATGCCATTACTGGTCATAAAAAGAAAAGGAGAGTCGAATAATTACTGAGGGACTGACACTCTTATATAACATCTCCAGAAAGCTGAAGCGATTCTGGTGCTAGGAATTTTATGCCAATTAAACTTGTTCAAAAGAATTAATTCAACTATGAAACATGCTGGAGAAATTGCTTCTCCTCTGCATGAGTTTAGGGCTATTGTCCTAGCTCTCCCTAAGTTCTTTGCTTCCAGATTCAGAATCATGGATTTGGCCTGGGCTTTAATAAAGGACTATCCAGCAGCTGGGTACCTATAGTCCATTGACAATCAATGGGAGTTGAGCACCAGACTCACCCACTTAGACTTCTTGGCAAATGATAGCCCTGAAGTATCTGAGTGGGATTTTTGACATGGCCTAAGTGATTTAGAAGCACATCTCCCATTGATAGTCAATGGACTTAGGTGCTTTGAAAATGTTACCCACTGATCCAGATTCTCAAGTGATGCCAATCAGCACGGCCTACAACTGAACTATGTTGATTTACACCATCCGAGAATTTGGCTCATTGCACAATGAACAGTAGCAAACATGACATAGCAAACGGATTTGTATCATTGCAAAGGGAGGGCAGGAGCAGCCTGCAGATCAATGATAGCTTTGCTTAACTGCAAGTCTGGGCCAAATCTGTTTATGGATGTAAAGTATTAAATGACACTCCTGCACACTTCACATCATTTTAGCTAGTGATCTGAATTCCTTGTCGCTAGCCAGGTTTCAGGGGGCCACTTCTTCTCTGCAAAGGTCACATTTTAGAAGAAGGACTTTTCTGTTTGGAGAAAAGCAGCTGGGTATGAGCAGAATGATAATCTTGCTGGGTCACAGTTTACCCAAAAGCCTTTTACTGATTCTCCTCCTGGCACTTTTGGAAAGTAGTAAAAGAAATAAAATGAGGGGCTCCAACCTTCTCGTCTATGCTACGTCCCTCTCTAAAAACTACTGAATATTTTGCCCATGCTTAATGAAGCAAAAGAAAGCACACAGTCTGCAAATTACTCACTGTCAGGTAGAGAAAAGCATGAGGCAGCAGAACAAATCAACTCCCTTTATCCTAATGCAGAATATTATAAACAGAAAAGTAAAAGTGGAAAAATGCTACTTGGCCAAAGGGAGGCAGCAATAATCCAAATGAAGAAGCAGAAATAGCAGAAGGGTGTAGACCACACAAATGGGACAAGCCAATCTGAAAATCTTTGGGGTAGAGACTTAGCACAAGGGGGCCTTGATCTGGCTGGAGTCTAGGCACTATTGCATTATAATGGTTAATAATTAAATAATAATAATTACTTAATAGAGACTTTAACAACTTGAACAAGTCTGTAGAAACAACCATTATCTAGGCTCCCCAATGAAACACTCAGAAACATAGCAAAGAAGAAATCCCTTGGGTAACTCTTGCAATTCACTATTAATAGCTTAGGTAAACTGTTCTGATAAGATACATTGGAAGACTGATAACTTTCTCATGGTGCTGCTTCCCTCCCTGAACTGGGCAAGATCTTGTCTGAGCTGTAGCCATTCAGCATTGAAGTGGTTGCAGTGAAAATGAAAGTTAGGTCTGAAGCTGAGGGAACATTAGGAAAATAATTCTGTATCTGAAAGGGGAATTCAAGCAGAGAAAAGGAAAAGAGAGGGTTCAAATTCGCAATGGTGCTTTAGTGCAGATGCTCCGTGGCTCTGAAAAAAATCAAACAAATGAAGGTTTCAGGGATTTGTGAACAATGGGACAATGGTCAGTTGATCATAGATCATTTAAAGACCCACAATATAGTACATTATATATATTTCATTTTAAAATTCTCTCTTCTTGAATATGTTTGGTGAGACAGGCGGCCAAGAATTGGACCCCCCAGCCCATCTGCCAGAACTTCCACTTGCACCTGAGAAAAATCTGAGTAAGAACTTTTAAACTTTCCTTGTTACCAGTATTTTCAGGCATTAAGAGGCACCAGGGTTCAGTCTCTTTGGGCAAGAGATCCAGAAAGAACTTTTTCGGTAATGTCCACTCATCATACTGGACCATTAGCAGAGGTTAAGTAACATCAGAACGTCTCACTTACATTAACTTTACCTTAATATAAGTCCATTGACCTTGGTGGAGTTCCTATTGATTGACATGAAGTGTAAGAGGAGGATCCAGCGCCTCTATTAGATTCTGCATCATTGCTGTTGCTGTAACACAAACCAACACCTACGGAGCCACAACCATCTCTGCTATAACCTAAGTGAGGGCCCTCACATCGATTAGGGAAGAATTTGTACCACTGATGCTGAGTTGATTGTTGCAACGGTGTTTATAGCTAATGAACTAGCTAGGAATTTACATTTGAAACTACTAAATCGAAATTGTTTCTCAAAAGAAAAGTGGGTTTGAAAACAGAGTGAGTGAGCATACATGTTTCATACAAACTTCTACTGGATTTATTCTGAAATCCCAGAGATTAGAAAATGGGGAATTTCTGATGGCTATTTGGAATCTATGTAGTGGAAAGACAATTTCACTCCTGTCCCTAGCGCACACACAGTCACATAAAAAAATCACAAGCACAGCTGGCATTTTGGCAGATTCAGAAGAAAGGCTCCGATGAGTACAGCCGTTCCACTAGAGGTGTTCCTTCAGAGGGGGGTTACATTAGGGTTGCGCCTCTATCCACCAGGTTACCTCCTTGATGGACAGGCCCGGGTTCACCTGCAGCCTGTCCCCTGCTCAGCAGGGTGTGAAACCCTCATTTTCCTCCCATATGGAAGTGTTTGGCAGAGCTTCACCCCCAGAGCAGCTTGGAAGGAAAATTCTAATCACAGAACAAGCCCCACTTACTTGCCAAATAGTTAGAGGTTCCCAAGAAATAAAAACAAGTGCAAAGTATGTTGAAGAGACTATCTATATTAAACAGGAAGCAACTACAGGGTAAACCACTGCGCTCAGCTACCTGGGCTGAAAATACCCCCAAATTTCACCAGTCCTGTGACCTGACAGAGCAAGAGTAAAATTCTGTGCAGCACTTGGCTAACTGGGTTCAGCCCAGATAACCCACACATCGTTCCTTCACAGATTTAATAGACAGCAAGTAATAAAATCCCCAAAACCTATCCTAGGGCTTGAGGATACAGCTCAGAGAATAGGGGAGTCTCAAACAATTTCCCTAACTAAAGGATGGTGCACTCTCAGTTTAGGCTCTGAATGTCTTGGTCACTGCAGAAAGGCTGACAGCCACATCTGGAAGGCATCCTCTTTGTGCAGGAATCAGGCTGCTTTGGTTTCCCTTCACTCCAGCAGCGTATGGCTCAGGATGCAAATGATCACTCTTCTAAAATCTGAACTGCTCTCCTGACCTAGTGCTCAGCTACAGTCACAGCAGGCAGGCAGCCCTGGGCTAGCAGCCAGAGCAGGACTTGTCCCATGATAACTGATCTAGCTAGGGAGTTGGAGGGCTAACTCAGTCTGGCTGGCAAGGGAGTTGTCCCAACAAAGCTCTAACAACTGGGGCTACATCTACCCTGCAGGCGTTTTGTGCAAGAAGCTTTTGCAGAAGAGATGTTCCTCAAAAACTTCTTGCACAAAAGCACATCCCCAGTACAAAAGCGCATCGCAAAAGTGATGTGCTTTTGCGCAAGAGAGCATCCACGCTGCATGGATGCTCTTGCCATCAGAGCACCTGTGCTTTTTCTGATGGGCTCTTTTTGCACAAGAAACCCCTGTTGCGTGTCCACACACACCTTGTGGCACAAGAACTCTTGCACAAAAAGGAGTTATTCCTCGTAGAAAGAGGTATACCTGCACCGCAAAAAGCCCTCTGTTCTGCCAGTATACTGTCAATTTTCTTGTGCAAAAACGTGCTTGAGGTGTGGACACTCCGCAGGTTTTGGCGCAAAAACAACCGTTTTTGTGCAAAATCCCTGTAGTGTAAATGTAGCCTGGGAGTCACCACGAGCAGCCAAAGGACCAGGCTTAGGGAAATGGCTTCCAGGCCCCCAGATGCCAGTTCTGAGGGGGATCCTGCATGCAAGCCTGGGACTGCCAAGCACATCGCACAGTGTCCTTCCCTTTCTGTGGCTGGCTCCAGACTCCTCCAAAACGGCTTTTCACTTCTCACAAGGCTCCCAAGGGAAAGGCATCTGAATTCCTATTGGTCAAGCTAGTTCTTCCCAGGCTCTGACTTGTCAGACATTTGACTCCCCCACCCGCCCACCTTTTCTGGGACACTGCCCTTCCTCTGAGCAGGTGGGCTAGTGACTATCCAGGCACACCTGCTATCATCCTGCCAGGCTGACAGGGTCCACATCATTCGAAACAGTCTCCTCCTCTCTCCTTCTTGGATGCCTAGCAGACTCTGAATGTGCCCTTGGCCCCATCCTCCCAGGAACAGCCATGCCCTCTCCCTTAGTTACAGGCACAACGAGAGCTCTTTGGGACTTGCATTGGAATGAGAGGGTATTGGGAAGGAAGCTTGCACTGCTGATACGTATGCTGTACTTCATACATAGACTTCAGGATCAAGGGCTATCAACTTAATTGTCACACTACTGTGCCCAAAAGAGTTAAAAGACCTGAAAAGAACGTCAGCCCACCTCCAAACCCAGCGATGCCATCTCTGCCCATTGTACCATATGCCTTGTGGAATTTTCATAGAACCCCAGCTCCTGGAGTCAGGTGATTCTATGAACATTTCATCTTTGATTATGTCTGTCAAAAACATGAAGGCTACGTCTACACTGGCATGATTTTCCGAAAATGCTTTTAACGGAAAAGTTTTCCATTAAAAGCATTTTCAGAAAAGCGCATCTAGAGTGGCAGGATCTTTTCCGCAAAAGCACTTTTTGCGGAAAAGCGTCCGTGGCCAATCTAGACGCGGTTTTCCGCAAAAAAGCCCCGATCGCGAAAATGGCGGAAAACAGTACTATGCTGTCTACACTGGCCCTTTTGCGCAAAAGTCTTTTGGAAAAAGACTTTTGCCCGAACGGGGAGCAGCATAGTATTTCCGGAAAGGCACTGATGATTTTACAGGAGATCGTCAGCGCTTTTCCGGAAATTCAAGCGGCCAGTGTAGACAGCTGGCAAGTTTTTCCGCAAAATCAAATGATTTTGCAGAAAAACTTGCCAGTCTAGACACAGCCAAAGTTTCTAGCTCTCAGAGAAAAGTGTGACAATAGGAATCTTCCCTCCTCTTCTTTCCTCCCCCTCCACAAAGGGCTCAAAAACAGGAGGCAAAAATAAAATAGAGTCCCAAATGTATTACTTATTAATATATCATTATTTTGGGAGGCTTGACTCAAGTTTTTGGACACTTGGGGCTGCAAGGGCTATTTCATGCCTGCAACTGTATTGTGCCTTCCCTTGAAATCAACATACTAAAACCAGTGGGGCCCCATATGTTTATATAGAGGCAACCATTTTTTCACAATTTTTATTATGCTTTTGGTTTAGACAATATCACGTTCTTCAATGGGGTCTTTCAAAATGTGGACAGTGTTGCACTGTTTTTCGGTAAGTACAGCCTTATGGTTTGGTATTTTTGGTAATAAAAAATGGGATTTGTTCATGACAATAGAGAAGAAATTCTTACAAGTATAGGTTTCCTGTAAAGCCGGTGTCTAAGGATTGAATTGTCTGCAGTTCTTAAGCTCCCAGAAGGGCTGCTGCACAACGTCAGTCCCTAGAGGTCCCTGAACTTGGGGCACATGGAGGAACATTTGGGGGGGAGGTGAAGGAATGTTCAGGAGCATGTGGTAGGGGCAAGACCAGCCCCTAGTGCGGCGGGAGTATCAACCAACCCTGTTCCACTCCCAGCTCTGCTTTGGCCCTGCCCCCAGCCATGGCTTCACACTTGGTCCTGCCCCCTGCTGCAGTCCCTTACCCTGTCCGCATCGCTCAGCCCCTGGGAGCCACACCCCCACTCCCAGCCCATGGGGGTGGAGCACAAACAGGGTAAAGGCGGTGCCACCCTGTAAAGTTTGGGACCTCTTTCTTAGACCCTCAGGCTACATCTACATTGGCAAGATTTTGCGCAAATACTTTTAACGCAAGAGTTTTTGCATTAAAGTATTTGCGCAAGAGAACGTCTACACTGGCATGTGCTTTTGCGCAAGAGATGTGTTTTTGCGCAAAAGCATCCATGCCAGTGTAGACGCTCTCTTGTGCAAGAAAGCTCCGATGGACATTTTAGCCATCAGACTTTCTTGCACAAGAAATTCATGTTGCCTGTCTACACTGGCCTCTTGCACAAGAACACTTGTGCAAGAGGGCTTATCCCCGAGTGGGATTGTCATAGTTCTTGCGCAAAAAGCACTGGTTTCTTACATTAGAACGTCAGTGTTCTTGCGCAAGAACTCGCGGCCAGTGTAGACAGGCGGGAAGCTTTTCCCCAAAAAGGGGAAACCTCGCGGCCAGTGTAGACAGGCGGCAAGTTTTTCGCAAAAGTGGCTGCTTTTGCGCAAAATCTTGCCAATGTAGACACAGCCTCAGTCTGCAGGGGGGCCCCAGGAGCAGGCCGGGTCTTGCCCAACTCTGACTGCCATCCTCCAATGTCTGTTCTCTCCTAGACTGCCTGGGTTCTCACTTCACTTGGCTGCAGTCCCTATTCACTAACTTCCCTGCCCTGCTCCATTTCGTGAGCAAAATGAGATGTGTCACCGGACTTTGCCCCCGGGATTTCGAAGACTATGGCTGCTCTTGCCGGTTCGAGATGGAAGGCCTCCCTGTGGATGAGGCAGACAGGTGTGTGTTCCCGGGAGATAGCTCTCCTGGGGTCATGAGCAGCAATGCTGAAACCTTGTTGCGTCCCTCTGAAACTTAGCCCCTGGCTAAACTGCTTATGGTCATACCACGGGGGCCCTTCCCTTTGCAAATGGATGACTGGCTCCCATGGGAAAACCCCAAGTATCCAGGCTGGGCTTGCAAACTGTAAGCACCCAGGCACAACCAAGATTGTCTCCAATACCCAAGAAAACATAAGATACAGGGTCAGCTGTTTTCCTCCCTAAGCCATCAATATCCTTTGTTGGTGCCATCCATTTCCCCATTCACCAGCGTAACCCCATACACTGAATCTTCATGCATGGATACTAACCCTTCTCTCCATAGTGTGCTCTTCCCTTACTGTGCACAGACATGGAGATCTGTCATCCAGGCCTTTCTTTCCCTGAACCCCCCTCAGCTGTGGACCACTCTGCTCCTGAAATGAAAAGCGGGCATAGTCCACACCTCTGCCCCCCCTTTTCCACTGCAGTTTGGGCTGCAAAGCTGGGTTAAACCAGTTGCAACAGGGAACCACTCCTGGGAGGCAGCGGGTACTCCCTATGTACATCCTCATTGTCACAGTGCTTGTCCATCGAAGTGCCATCATGGGCTACACCCCATGGCAACATCAAAGCACAAAGCCATTTGCTTCATTTTACAGATGGGCAAACTGAGGCACAGTGTCAGTAAAGTCATTTGCCCCAGATGGCATAGGAAACTGTCAGCAGTGCTGGGAAGAGAACCATAAATGCCTGACTCCCAGCCCTGTGTTTTAGCCTCTGCCCCTGGTGGATGGATCCTTGAGAGTAATTCAGTGCCTGCTCCCCCTTGCTAGGGCAGGATGAGCCAGGGCTGAGAGTCCTTTTTCCTCATGGCCACTTGGGTGGTGAGCACATGCAAAGAAATGCAATAAGGTCCAAGTCCTGCCCAGGCATAGCTGGGGAAGGGAGTGATTTCATTTGTGGAGTGAGGGTGAATGTAGATTTTATGCCCAGGGATGAATCCATTCCCATCCCACAACGTTGGAAGGGGAGGAAAATGGAATTTTAAACTTCCCACCAGAGAAAAGCTGGGCCAAGTCCTCAGGAGTGGCTTTCCAAATAAACGCACTGATGCTCTGAAATCAGAGCGCAAGCCTGTTCAATGAACTGACAGCTCAAACGCTCAACCGCTGATCTTGCCACTCACTTATGTTAATGAAAAGCGGGGTAAAAAAAAGCAGAGCAAGGCAGCAGGACATTCACAGACACTTCCTTTTCAAACAGGCAGCTTTGAAACGGCTTAGCAGTGTCTCTTCCATTAATGAAAATGCCACTGTATGGTATAGGCTGCTTTTCCAAGTGTATGTACTAGACACTGTTCAAATTCAGAGAACCCCGTTAAGGAGACTCTGACACTGAAAAGATCCTCCTAAAAGAAACAGTTCTGCCAGTTTTGAAGAAGTTGGGCAATTGTTGAAGTCCCTTCTCCATCTATCAAGAGGGGTAGCTGTGTTAGTCTGCATCTGCAAAAGTGATGAGGAGTCCTGTGGCACCTTATAGTCTAACCAGATTTATTGGCGCATAAGAATTTAGTGGGCAAAGACCCACTTCATCAGATGTTGGTCTCTGTTCACTGGCACTTTCCGCTGAAGGATCTCAAAGCGCTGTGCTTTTCAGCATCTCTGTGAGAGCAGGAAGTAGCACCATCTCCATGATCTTACTGGGCCAATTCTGACTCTGAACCTGAGGCTTACATTCAGAAAGTACTTAAATGCCTAACCTCCAGATGTAGGTGTCTAAGGGTATGTCTACACTACCCCGCTAGTCACAAACTTCATTCGTGAAATGAAGAGTAACGGTAGTTCGAACTAGGAAGCCTAGTTCGAACTACCTAGTTCGTGCCCCGTGTAGCCGCGCTGCACGGGGTTCGAACCAGCGGGGTTTTAAAAATGGCGGCTCCCCGCTTATGCAAATGAAGCTCGGGAAATTCAAATCCCGGGCTTCATTTGCAAGTGCGGTATGCCTACATTACCCTCCTAGTTCGAACTAGGAGGGTAGTGTAGACATACCCTCTGTGACTTGGACTGGAAAAGTTAGATGTCTTCAAGTCACCGGGGCCTGATGAAATGTATCCTAGAATACTCAAGGAACTGATAGAGGAGGTATCTGAGCTGATAGCTACCATCTTTGAAAAGCCATGGAAGACAGGAGAGATTCCAGAGGACTGGAAAAGGGCAGATATAATGCCCATCTATAAAAAGGGAAATAAGGACAACCCAGGAAACTATAGACCAGTAAGCTTACCTACTTTATCACTACATTCTCCCACCACCCATGCAGCACACATGCACTCTGTGTCACTGTCACACACCCCAGTCTGTGCCACCCTGTCTGTGCCACACACACAGAATTATTGTGACATACACATTGCTGAACACCCTCAATCTGTGTCATAAAGTCTGTCTCCCATACACCTAGTGTCTCGCACTCACTCACTCTCTTTGTCTCTCTCTGTAGCCCCCCAACCTCATCCCTTTTGCCCAAGGCCCTGCTCCTTCCAGGGGGCCTGGAGCTGGCCTGTGACCAAGAATCAAAATTTTGAAGTGGCCTCCCTGTGAAAATGATTGCCTGCCCTTGGATTAGATGATCGAACAGTCTCTTCTGGCCTCAAAGTCTGCAAATCTCTGCAAACGGCATGTGGCACTGAGCAGCCTCTGATGTTTGCATGAGCAGCCTGCTTGATCCTAGAACTAACATTGGCGGTGGCACCAGGGGAGCAGCTCAAACACGCAAAGGGACTGGTCAGGGACAGGACATTAGCTCTGCAGGCCAGATGTGGCAGTGACATCACAAGGCCTTTTCTAGCACCTCAGCTTATTGGCTAAAGGATGTTGGGAGGAGGTGACCTCACAGAGAGGCCATGACAACGGCTAGGTAGGACAGGCTGCAGGCAATCTCAGTGGCTTTGCTGCAGGGAGTCTCTTTCTTGAGGTCTGCGGATCAGGCAAGACACGGCCCACCAAGACTTTTAATCCAGCCAGTGGTCACCCTGCCAGGACCCTCGGGCAGGGAGCAACCCCAAGGCTCAGAGCGGCTGCTCCAACTGCCTCTCTGCGCAGGGAGGAGGGTGAACCTTTGTGTACTGCCCCCCCCCCCCACACACACACAATTGGCTGATTTTCATTGGCTGCTCCTGCCCCCATCACAATCTTTCAGTTCTCATTTGCTGACACAGCCAATGGAAGCTGAGAGATTGTCTTGGGGGCAGAGGCAGCGTGTGTTGAGTTTCCCCCGCGCCATGCAGCACAGAGAGGCACATGTAGCAGCTGCTCTGAGGTTTGGGGCTGCAACAGGCAGGGTCCCATTGGGCTGCTGGCCAGGCACCACCTAGGTAAGTGCCTTCTAGCCAAAGACTGCCTCTGGCACCTGGCCCCCTCCCTCAGGTCACCACCCCCTCTTTCTCCAGGTCACCACCCTCCCTGCCACACACTGAATCCTCTCTGGCACCACTCCCCCAGGCCAGAATCCTCTCCTGCACCCGTATCCCCTCCCAGACCCTACACCCCAATACCTTGTCCCAGGTCACAACCCTCTCCTTCACCCATGCTCCCTCTTACATCCAAACATTCTCCTGCACACCAGTATCCTACTCTGAGCTCCCTTCTGCACCCAACCTCCATCCCAGACCCTGCAAACCCTCCATAGAAAACTGTGGTCCTTTACCACTTACCAAAACCTTGGTGGTTCCCCCATCAAAAGTTATTGCCTGCACATGATCTAGATGTTGCTTGCTCCTGCCGTGAGGGCATAAGAACATAAGAACGGCCGTACTGGGTCAGACCAAAGGTCCATCTAGCCCAGTATCCTGTCTGCTGACAGTGGCCAACACTAGGTGCCCCAGAGAGGGTGGACTGAAGACAATGATCAAGCGATTTGTCTCCTGCCATCTCTCTCCAGCCTCTGACAAACAGAGGCCGAGGACACCATTTTATCCCCTGGCTAATAGCCTTTTATGGACCTAACCTCCATGAAATTATCTAGCTTCTCTTTAAACTCTAAACAGAGGACTGGACTTGAAGACCTCTTGCCAGTATTCTATGATTCTACCACTCTCTGAAAGGGGTGGGGCTTAGCAAAAACACATCCCTCATTGGCTAGGTCAGGCAGCTTCCAGCCTCTGTGCTAGCTTTTATGAATTGCAGTCTCAGGTGCCTCTCTCTGCCTATTCACCATACAGGAAGCCAAGGCGCGAAGCTCAGTTTTGCTGAACATCACAGCACTTAAGTACTTTTGTGAATCTGGTACTGAGTCACATGCCAAGGGTCCTACCAGCTGCCTATGACAGAGCAAGGAATAGGAACCACTTTTCAATGGCCGCAGTACAGCAAAGCACTTTAATATTAAGCACATGCTTAAGTGCTTTGTTGGATCAGCATCCTAGTCCTGTGTGTCAGCCACAAAACAAAACCGCCCTCCACTGGCTTCCCCTTTGCTGACGCTAAGCAGCAAACCCCACCCCCCCACTCCTGCATGTGAAAGAAAGGAGCAAAAATATAGAACGTATCCTTATATGCCATGCAGGTTTCAGCTATAAAAGGCCATAGACTGCTCTACTTTTATCCCATTTTACATTGTTCTTTCATTTTACAAACCCGGGCCTTTGATGCAGTCAGTGTGCAGGGCAGGGGTTGGCAGCTCTGCACAGTAGGTTTGTTTGTACATAGAATGCTTTCCCAAAACTGCCGAAGGACTCGGGTGAGGATTTTCTCTGCCTGTTACTGGAACAGGCCGTTCATCTTGGAGATCACAGGCTGCAGCTGGATCTTGGAATCTGGACACAGATTTATTTACCAAGCTGAAGACTGTGTCAAGGCTTTTCTACGGAACGATGTCACCCCCATATTTGTTTAATATCCCCCTGGTATGACTTTGATATCTTAAGTGCAGTGTCACCATGGAAAGGTTTCAGCAGAGGTAGCAGATGGATGCCAGGGAGTAGAAACAATGAACAGATCAAACACTCAATATTTATTAGAACAGATGCTTCCTGTTGTTCTCTGCACCTTTTAGAGTTACACTGTAATACAAAGGGGGGACTGTTACTTGCTCCTGTTTGGTAGAGAATGCACATGAAATCAAACAGTTTTAGTCCATCCAGTGTGGACTTTATCCAAGGACTAGTAGGAGACTTCTATTCAGAAACAATCCCTGGGAGTCTCATAGCCTCAGGGCACATCTTCACTACTTGCTGGATCGATGGGCAGAGATCAATTCACTGAGGGTTGATTTATCACGTCTTGGATAGACATGATAAATCAACTACTGAGAACTCTCCCATCAACTTGGGTACTCCACCAAAAGGAGAAGCAGAGTCAATGAGCGTGCGTCAGCTGCCGAATTACCACGGTAAGCAGACCTAAGTATGTTGACTTCAGCTGTTAGCCACATGTTTGAAGTTATGTAACTTAGATCAATGGTCTGCAGCAGCGTAAACAAGGCCTCAGATAAATCTTCCATACCAAGAAAAACATCCTGTGCACAACCACCATGTTAGGAGCCCTCCTGCTTGCCTTATTGCCAAGAGCCATGACAATGTCATAAGCTGCAGATTGTTATTGCCTTCCCAGGCACAGCAGGGGGCAACGAAACACACCACTCACAGGATACAATGGATACAATCATCCGTGGCCATACGCCAGCATGGTTGTCAGCCTATTCTCTACTTGTAGAGGACGACGTGGCATTCATATTGCAGCATTAACAATCCTTCCACTACCTCTGACGGACAGATCCTATTATTACCTCCTTGAGAGGCATACCGAGAGGTTGCATGGCTTCCCTAGTGCCAGGAAGTCAGCAGTGTTCATACCCAGGAACTCCAGGTCTGGAATTTTGTCTCAGGACAGAGGGAAAGAAGCTTGTACTTCCATGAGCAATGTGGGGCTGGCGAGGGCTGGTTCTATCCTCAGCACTGAACTGTCCTTACTTGAAGTATGGCTTTTACAGCAGCCAGAGAATAGCCAGGGCATAGAAATGTCTCCTGTTGGCCCCATTATAACCTTTGGGACAAGGACTCTGGAAATAGCTCTGTGCTGGGCATGGAGACTGTGCCATAGGGCCCCTTTTCACCAATCCAGTGCAAGGGGGCTGCAGCAAAGGACAGACAGATTCTCACTGCACCTGCTGTGCTCAGTCTATTAGGCCTAGTCAGCCACGAGGGGGGAAAAGAATCACCGGCCCATCTTCTAGGGGCCAGAGGAATGAATGCTCATTACTGAAAGAGCATCCTGTGCTCCCACCTGCTGCTCAGTGTGTCACCATCCCAAAAAGATGTCAGGAAGTGACGTGACAATGAAGGTGTGTCCCTTGCATTCTTTCAGGTATGTCTTTCTTTGTTTTAAGCGACGAGGAGTCCTGTGGCACCTTATAGACTAAGAGATTTATTGGAACATAAGCTTTCGTGAGCAAAGACCCACTTCGTCAGATGCAAATGTGTCTTTGCCTGTGAAAGCTTATGCTCCAATAAATCTGTTAGTCTCTACGGTGCCACAGGACTCCTCATTGCTTTGCAGATTCAGACTAACACAGCCACCCCCCTGATACTTCCTTTGTTTTGTTTCTAAGCTGCTGCTTCCAGCACCGCAAATGCTACGAAGAAGCTGTGGAGCTGGAGTGCTCATGGGACCCTGCAAAGATTTCTACGGACCTCAGCTGCCTTACTAAAAACATTACCTGTGGTAAGGTGAAATGGGGATTGCTGCCAGTCACCAGGGCTGTGTACTGATCGGGGAAAAGAGTTGGCTTTTGTAGTTGTACATCTCCTAATGCAACAAGGACCTGGTCCATAATGGGATCTTTGGGGCTATAATTATACAAATAATTAATCATAATTCCAATTCGTTTACTAAGACTAAGCAGAAATCACCCACGATTGCCTTGTAGGTCTAGGTGTATTTGATCCTACCTCAGATGGCCTCTCAAGGTCCCTTCAAGCCCCGTGTTATGGCTCTCTAGATTGCAGATGGAATAGCGACCCTCCTCCTGTGCTGATGCTATTCAGCACTATCAGTATTCAATTGAATGGAAAAGCAAAAATCCAGCAAATGCTGTAGAAAACAAGGTGCTGTGGATCCCCGGTGGCAGGAGTGTTCTCTTTGGAGGCCATTTAGCGTTGCTTGGCACATCTGTGTGGCTTACACCTGTAGCTGACTGCTCAAGAGTGTGGAATGACGTGTTTTAAAGCCCTGTTTGTCTTTGCTGAACCTCCGCTACTGATTGCATCATAATTAAAGATTGCGAGGTGCTCAGATACTATGGAGATGGGGATTCATACAGGTACCTAAGAGATTCCAAAAGGGACCATTTTGATCATCTCGTCTAACCTCCTGCGTAGCAGTGGGCCGTAAAAGTCCTCCCAGTGGCTCCTACATCAAGCTGAGTCACAGAATCCTAGGGTTGGAAAAGACCTCAGGAGGTCATCGAGTCCAGCCCCCTGCTAACAGCAGGACAATCCCAACTAACTTGTAGTTGAGTTAAAGCATCACTTTGAGTCATGAGGAGCTTACCAAATCCAGGGGAAGGCATGGCAATAAATAGCAGCATATCTCAACAGTGTCCATGGATTGCATTGGTGCTCTTCATCCCTACTACTTGATAAGTATTTGGTAGTCTGGCCTATAGCCTAAAATACAAGATGCCCCTTGGGAAAGCTGTGGTCAGTTATCATCCAAAGCAAAAGTCAGGCACCTTCCAGACATGCTTTCCAGCTAATGATTGGGCAGGACTGAGCTGGAGGGCTCAGAGGTAACTTTAAAGTGGTTATTTAGACAAAGATGGTGCCGAGTCGGAAGAGGCAGGGCATTCCCCGTGACCCTTTCTGTTGGCTTCCCCTTTCGAGTCACACGGAAAGAGATTTATTTCACTTGCAGGCAACGTCGCAGAGCTCCCCAGTGCAAACTGCATCTAGCAAGGAAATAAGGATTTAAGTCATTTAGCATCCAAGCTACAAGTTGTCATTCCCTTTGCTTAGCCATAAATAATTCCCTTCCGTCTCTCACACCACAGTCCCATCTAATGCCAAACAGCCAACTGGCAGCTTTTGTTTCCACCATAAATGTAATACACCAGCTGAGAGCAAGGCCGCTTGATAATGATGTGAAAGGTGCTGATGAGCCCTGTGTGAAGTGAGCCAGGACTCCCAACACTGCTAACATTGGAGCTGTTCTGGTATTAGCAACCATGGGACAATTTCACAACAGGGGGAGAAGCGCCATGCCCTCAGAGCCTGTAAGATGACTGCATCAGGGGAGCTCTGGTAAAACCTGAGCAGATGTTGCCTTGATGTTTAAAGTGATTTTCTCACTCATCTATCTGGTTCCTAGTTAAAATGTTCCCACCAAGCTCTAGTCCTCTGTAGAGACCAGGGCCAGAGTTTGGTCTCGGTGACACAAGTGTAAATGTAGAATAGCTAACGAATTGAGAGTGTCACTCTGGATTAAGCCTGGCTCAGTTAACAATCTGATCCCACAATCCTTTCTAGTCTCAAACCAAAGCCTTTTTTTGCTTTAGCTCTGTCTAAAAAAGAATAAAATAGTCACATTTCAATGGGAAAAGTGTTTTTCTCTGTCCCCCTTTACTTGGAAATGGCAAAGGTATTTTTCTCAAACTGGAAAAAGGTTTTGCCCTTGCTTAGTGCGTGAGCATAGCAATACATGTTCTACTCCAAGGTGAATCTGTCGCAAAGTTATCCGTGTGGGAAAACAGAACACTGGGATGGAAACTGTATGGCAACCTGTGCTGTAATGCACAGCATGTTCTGTGATACCCCTAGAGTAAATGCAATGAAAGCTGCACCAAGTACAACTTATAGCCGGCAATGGCCAGTGGTTGGATAGAAAAACAACATTTAATTGACACTTACCCATGGATTTCCCTAGGATAACTCAAGCTTATTGTTTTGTAAAGCCTGAGTTCATGTAACTTTGGTACTTGCAGAAACACAGGACAGGCTTATATTCTACAAAATGAAATGGAGCGGTCGATGGAAAGCCAGAGAGGCAAAAGTAGATAGTGGAAACGGATATTTCAATGGCACTTTGTCTGGATTTTTGTTTTCACTCCAGAATCAGGGGATCCTTGTGAACAGCTTCTCTGCGGTTGTGACAAAGCTGCTATTGAGTGTTTTGTCCATTCACACATTAACTCTTCCTTGAACGGCCTGGATGTCTCCTTCTGTCCAGCTCAGGTTACAGGTAATAATCAAAAGCCTGATCTACTGACCATTCAAGTCAATGGGAATCTTTCCATCAGTAGAAAGGGCACCAAATTGAACCCCAGGAGAACAGTACTGCTGCTGGTGTCTCAGTTTCTTATACCACAGATGGCATCAGTGCCTGTGCTGTTCTGTTTCATGAATCATTTCCATTTACTGTGACTCCATGAATGCTAACAGCAGCAGGTGGGTGTGGATTCATTCAGATGATTTGACTAGATGGCCAGATCTCCAGGGCAAGTCTGCGTGTGAATGGTGACAGAGGGACAGTCCTGAAGGCTGAAATCCTCTCTTTGCTCACAGTAAAGGTAATTCATAGGTGAGGAGGGAGGCAAACCTCATTCTGCTCAGCTGATATGCCCACTCTCTGGCGTGGCAGGGTACAGTGTAAGGGGAGAATGATAGGAGCCTTCATCTCCATTAATAGAATCTGTCCCTTTGGCCGTAAGTGGCCAGGTTTCCAAAAGTGCTCAGCGTCCTCTGTGTGTTTGCCTGCAGGCATCTCAGGGAAGCACCAGGAATGTTATTGTACATAGAGATTGTTATGCCAACACTTAACTAATTTATCTGGCCTTTTTTTTTTTTTTTTACACTCTGCCAAGTACTTTACCAATATCAACTAATAACGTTTTTGGTAGAGTTACTCCTCCCCGAACACTGCAAAGCAGGCAAGTGCCCTCTTCTTTAGAGGCAGGGAAATGGAGGAAGCGACAGGAAAGCCTTCCAAAGCCAAGAAGTTGGCGTCGAAGCCGGGAAATTCACCTCTAATGTGTGAGACCCAAATCAAAGAGCTCAATGATTTGATCTAAAACCAGGTTTCTCAATACAATTCTGTTCCCCAAGCCCATTCAAAAGATTCTGTTTTAGAGCTGCACTCAAACCTCCAAAATGGCTGCTAAATGGCACCCCCATCCTGCAGACAGCTCTGCTTAGTACTGATGTGAGAGGCTGGTTCTCTCTCAGAGCAGTGATCCCTCCAGCAGCTTTGGCATTCCCAGCAATATTTCTTGGTGGAACAGAGCCCTCATAAAATCAAGAAATCTTTTCACTTGATGGCCACTGTGATGGGGGTCCACCACCACCACACCTGTTAGTCATCTTGGGAATTAGCTCCCCATGTCAACACGCCCACTCCCAGCAGTGCCTTGCCCATAGTCACTTCTATTCCCAGACCCACATCACTCCAAGGAAGGTGATGTTCTCTTCATGGCATAACCCTCAAGTCATGTCCAGCTCTATGCTTCCCCCTTTCCTGGGCCAAGTCTTGCAGTACAACTGTTCTGCCGCTTTTTCAATTTTCTATTGCAGCCCATGAATGGCCACTACCTCAGTAGCCCCAGCACCCTCTTTGCCCTTGCTTTGGGGCCTTAGCCTGCAAATCCCAGGAGCTCTTTTCTATGTCCCCCAGTCCTTGTTAGCAGCACTGCTCTGTCCAGGGTGCTATTTTCTTCCACCTGACTGCCAGATACTCTGTTCTACCTCCTTGAGCTCCAGGGAGTAACCATCCCGGCTGTGCCCTGCAGCTTTTCTTATATAGGCCTGCTGAGTCCTTATTGGCTGTTCCTTGCAGTCCCTTTCATATCGGATGCTCCCTCCACAGCTTTCCTAGGATTCTATTAACCCCTTTCATGCCAGTGTGGGTCAAATGCCCCCTCATAGACACTCATTTAGTTGTCTTCTTATATAGCTGCACTGTGTGTGTGAGGCTTGGGGGGGGGGGGGGGGGGGAAATGCTTCCTAACAATATATCAGCTCTGATTTCTCTTCTCCTCAGAAACAACTAGCAAGAAAGGATTAACAACACATCACATTGAAGGTATGTTATGAATGCTAAAATCCTTTGCCTTTTTCAATTTATCGTGGCTTATTGATTGCAAGAAAAGCTAGTGTACATTCAGCAGAGAGATTCTACAGAGAAAAGCAAAGTGCACCTGTGTAGGGAGATGCTAAAATACAATTGGGAACATTGTCAAACATGCATAAGAAGTCAAAGTCCTATTTTCAAAGGCAGGTGCCTTGGTCACTTTTGCAAATGGGATTTAGAAGTCAAAGTTACTGAGTCACTGTCATAAGGGTGAATGGCTCCTTCAAGAGGCAGCAGGGTTCAGTGCTCCATGACTGGTTGCCTGCTGCCCAAATCAGCTTAAAAAAGCACCTGAATCTTATAAAGGGAAAACAAAAACTGAAAGAGCAGAGCTGATGAAATAGCTCAGGAAGGAACCAGTTGAGACCCAAAACACACAAGCCCAAGTAAGGGCCTGTGAACCTCTGACCTCAAGAGGAGGGACTTGACTCAGCAGAATTTGGGGAGGGCTGATAATTGTGAAGAGAAATTTGGAGCCAGACAGACCCAAGAGGAGAGGCTGTGCCCCATAGGAGACTCAGATGGAAGATAATTTACTTTGGGTATATTTCAATAAACCAGTCCTTAAGAATGTTGCTTGTTACTGGACATAAAAATTTCTGTGGATTATTCTTGGGAAAAACTGCAGGAGAAATTGAGGAAGAATGCTGCTGAGCCATACTTAGCCAGCAGGGGGCACTACAGGGCAGACATGCTCTTTGAAGGGTGCTTTTGAAAATGTTATCCATAATGCTCATAGTTTTAAGAAGTAGGTCTGTGCTTCCAACTAAAGAATAACACTTTCATTCCAAAAATAAAGACTGGTTCAAATGTCCAAATTCACCTGTGCATGTGTATTATAATATCCACATACCTGTTTCAAAACAGATACTCCCCCATATTTTGGGAGATAAAGCCATGATAAAAGATTGGAGTCATGCCATTTCTAACCATAACATCTTACGCCCAGATTCAGCAAGATACTTAAAGTAAGTGCTTAATTTTAAGCATGCTGATGTGTTAAAGGTTGTGATATTCTAAAGTATCTTGTTGAACTGGAGAGCCTTAAAGAATAATATCAGAGAGGTAGACGCGTTAGTCTGAATCTGCAAAAGCGGCGAGGAGTCCTGTGGCACCTTATAGACTAACCAAAGTGTTGGAGCATAAGCTTTCATGGGCAAAGACCCACTTCAACAGATGACATGCATCTGATGAAGTGGGTCTTTGCCCACGAAAGCTTATGCTCCAACACTTTGGTTAGTCTATAAGGTGCCATAGGACTCCTTGCCGCTTTTAAAGAATAATGATCATGAAGGAGTTTCAGTCAATGTTTTCAACTGTGGAGCAGGGCCTGGATGTTTTTCATATTGTCAGCACTGAATACAAGGTATTGTCAGCAGCGAGCAAATATTGCAAGCAATAATTATCAGAAATAAAGCAGGTTCCTGTTGCACCAATATTACTAAGCACTGTAGTTATGTTATACTCAATTGATGGTTGATGTCTCTTAAATTGCCCTGGAGTTGATGGCTATTGCACCACTTTGAAATGAGAACTCCTTTATTTTTGCAGAGCTTCTTTACCACAGGGGTGATAAACCACTACTGACAACTATTTCCATGGCAGAAGGTTTGTGCATTGACTCGGCAGAAGAAACACACTCAGCAAATTTCAGAAATGGTGCACTAAATCAATGCAGGGAAAAGACTGAAATGTGCTCCCAGTTAACCAAAAGAGCTAATATAAAAGAACCTACCATTGGTCCTGTGTGCCAATACAAGACTAAGTCCCAGAGTACAACGTTTTGGATTTGTACATGCTTTCTGCTAGGCAGAATACTTTTATATTTTGTATACAGTACAATACAGAATGACAGTCCCCACTGGAATCATTCCAATGCACTGGAATGTGCCACATGTAATTCCGAGGTCCAGGATCAAAGCATGAAGTCACTGTTTTGCTTAGCTCTTACTCGAGAAAATTAGTCAGCGAAGACAACAGCAGACTTGTCAATGTCAGGATTTGATGGATAGTAAAGCCATTGCATTAGACTGGTGTACAGTGGGTGAGAACAAAAACCATTTCACAATAAGACTTCAACTTAGACTTTCTCTATTGCCTGAGCCAGCAGAGCTATTCCATGAACAGACTTTTAAAGGGAATGGGTCCTAGCTATGGATAGCACAGTGTAGATTGGTGGTGTCATGTGCAAGGATTTTATCTCTGCCCTCTATTCAGAGAAGCTATGCTGGACTGTTGTGGGTGAAAGCTAATGCTCCATGTAGAGAAACACAGAAGAGAAACCAGATGAGCAGATTTCTCCAAAGCCAAACATGTCCCTTGTGGGGAAGAGGGGATGCTGCTGCTTTGAAGGATTTTCCACATCGCATGGAGGCCATAGGATTTCATTGTAGGGACACAGAAATGCATGGCCTGTTATTGCTTCAGACATGAGGAGGAGGAGGAGGAGGAGCTAGGCTTGGGGTCCCAGTTCAGTGGGGTTGCTGTGAGGCATCACACCAAGCATGAGTCTGAAAGAGTAAAAACCCCCCAGGTTGCCTGTGAATGTAAGGACAATTCTGTGGTTTCTGTCTTTAAAGGCATTCCACCTGCAGCCAGCCATGCCAGCTTGAGAACCCCCACATCGGCGTGTAAGTGATATTGTTACCTCAGAGCTGTCCTGCCCTTGTTGTATGCCACATTGCTTTCTTTATAGTTGGCAGCTTGCTTTTCTGAGCAGACCACTCCAGTCTCGGTTTGTGTATCTACAGTTACTCCCCGAGGGCTTGGCAGTGCACAGGGGAGAACGCCCAAAGCAGAAGGTGAGTGGCAGTTTCTGTATTTGATCCTTTGAAGAAAACAGCACGATAATGAGGTGTATGCAGTTAGCACATCAGCATGAGAACAAAAATAGCTGCAGTGAACAGAAACCTTTATTGGGAATGCCACAAAACTGGAACCTGCACAAGTGTAACATGTCTAGCAAATGTGTCTTGCCAAATGTAGGGTGGGATTCTGAAAAGCATTGAGCACTGGCCCACCTCTGCCCCACTGGTAGCTAGTGGCATTTTCCCATTGTCCTAACAAGAACAGAGTCAAGCCAGTGCTGTGTGTCTTTTGTTAGAGGGCATCTGTGCTTCCTTACATCAGAATAACCCAGATGCAAATACTAACTTCTGTGGTGCAAATATATAGATACCCCATTTAGGGTCATTTAAGAGCTGCATTTCTAAGTGATTAAAAACAGGCAAAAATAAAAAAAAGCTCTCCTCAGGATTTATATAACATGGAAAGGTAATGCAGCCTAATGGTTAGGGAAGAAGGGCTGGGTTCCATTCCCAGCTCTGTAACTAACTTTTCTGTTCAACCATAGACAAGCAATTAAGAATCCAGCCCAGCTGCTCACTAATTATGGATATTCAGCTTAAATGGGCACTACTGGGATTTTGCTGTCTTAGGTTTGCTCATCTGTAAAATGGGCATGCTGTTATACTTGCCAATTCAGAATGGCATTTGTGGGGCTTATCAGTAATATAAAAGGCATTGTGAGTGCTTAGTAACAGATGTATTTTATATTAGGGTCAAAAACATTTATCAATTTATTCACAAAACACATTTTCATCTCCTTCAAAAAGAGAAGAGAATATAAATGTCCACCTGAGACATTTTCACTTTTTCCACCCTATCACGGGTCCTTGTGCAAAGGCTGCGTTAACCACCTTTGCCTTTCACCAAGGGCTGTACTTCCTTATAGCTCTTTTCCAATGATTTACTCACATTTTCTCTCTTCAGTAACAGTTTCTGCTGAGTCCAGGGACTTGGTCCTGCGGACTCCCAAAACAGGCAACAGGGAGGCTTTTGTGGCTCTTGTGGTCATGCAGCAGCATGAGCTGTAGTTAGGCAAGTTTTGGCAGGCCAGCAATTGCAAAC